TGTATGAAAGGATATATATTATTTAACAAAGTGGGTGAGAGGAAGGCAGCAGAAAAAAATAGTGTTCATTTAATGAAGAGACTGGGACAAAAGCAAATGATAATTCCATCAGGCAGGATTTGAAGGATATTGGAGAGAGAAAAGTGTGGCTCAAGAGATCATCTAATTTATCTCACTGGTGATAAAATGAGCCTGAAGACTATTTCTAAATGGCAGATAATTCTGATCTAAGGAATGTCTCTTACATATAATTTAAAAGGGAAAGGAATTTGTACTGTTATTATTAATAATAGAATATTTTGCTTAAAAATTCAGGAACTTACTGTTCCTCTAGTCAAGTTTTTCTCAGATTGAGGAAAGTTATCCATGAAATGTGAAGCTATTTTAATGTTTCATATGGGCCAGAAATTGTTTTCTTTTTCCCAAGAGACCAAAGTAAGAGGCAAGAAGTATAATAAGTTTTAACAGGAATGTGTGAGTTTGTGATATAAACACTTGAGGCAGCTCTGGTTTTTATTATCTAACAGCTGTTCTGTCACAACTGAGCATTTCTGCCAGAGGAGCCTGTAACAACTCTCTCATATACCTTCCTACTTTGCTCTCAACCCAAAATTCACCTCAAACCCTAAAGTGGCAAAGGTTACCTACATGGCTGTATAAATTGTGGAACTTCCCAGGAACAACACTGTGTAGCAAAATAAGGAAAAAATTAAAACAAACAAAAATCTCTCTGCTTATGATGTGTTTGCTGATGTTGCTCTGTTCCTTACATTTCTGTTCCATTTTTTTTAGCCGGAGTTTCTGTTTTCAAATGACAAGAATCATAAAGTTTCTACTTACATCCTACTATGCCTTTCCAACATTTGTCAAGGAGACTTTTAAATTTTTTTTTTGAGTAAAAATTATCCTGTTTCTAATTTAATCCTGCTTGAATATACTTCTTTGTCCTCCTTTAAGCATTTTAATGTATCCTTTCTCTTTTTTACATTTTCAATCATGATAGTTTTTAACTTTTGCATGAGCAGGCTGGTCATTCTTAGCTCTTAATCACTTTCAGGATTATTTTCCCCCAACATTAGTTTTACCTTTCTAGATGTAAATTCACCTGGATCTTTGTAGATCTGATGACATCCTGGCAGGAAGAATGGGATCAGCCTGACCTTCATGGAGTCTCTGGGCTGCTCAGATGTTTTTCACAGAACTTGAATGAATGTCTTTCATATTTGGCTGTCCATTACCACCTCTTCCTAGAATTCTGTAGACATCTAGTCCATTTTCTGGGTTCCTGGTGGGTTTGGTCCAAGAGGAAGGTGCAGAGGTTGAACGCTTGACACATGCCCAATTTGTCCCAAGGGCAGGAAGCCAGAGTCAGAGGGCAGTAGGAATGTTTGGGTTTTTTTTCCTGTGGAGCAGAGCAGTTTAACTAGTGGCCTAGGAATGGTTCAGGCTCATGGAGTGCTCCTGGCCAGCCCACCATGTGCTTCCAAAGGAAATGCTGTCCAAAGAGCTCATAGCCCTGTCTGTGCTGCAGCAGTCAGGCTAGACCAGGCACAGGTACAGCTGGGATGGGGGTGGCTGGAGGTGACTGGGAGCTGTGACGGGGACCCAGCCCTCTCTGCTGGATCATGCACAGAAAGAGGAGTGATATTCAAAATTCTCAGTCCATCCTGCCTAAGCAAGGGAATCTGAAATCATATCAAATACCTTAGAAAGCTTAGAACCTGAAGAGAAGTGGGTCAGATCATGTGGTTGGATTTTATGACTAATGTGTATCCAGAGGGCAGAGCTAGGTATGAATGACATTTACAAAATGTTCTTTTACTTTCTTTTTGACTTCAGAGAAATGTCTGTTGGAGAGTTGAATTTAGTTGTACACCAGGAGAGAATATAGAAAGACTTCAGTAAAATATCTCAAACAAAGAAGGCTGTCTGAAAATTCAATGAAATACACTGCCCATTCTGAAAGATGTAAGAACCAGTCAAATTCACTCTTGATGGGAAGCTATCCACAAAAAAATAAGATAGACTTGGATGAAACACATGGGGGCTAGGACTCCCTTCATAATAACTCTACAAATCTCCATTGCCTGAAGTGTTCACAAGTAAAGGGAAAAGGTGGAAAAGAGCTCCCTGAAACACATAGGTGAAAGGGATAAAACGCAAGTCAAACTGAAGAAGAAAAAACCTATAGAGTTCAAACCAAAGCAGTAAATGCAGGCACTAGAGTAACTGTATGAGACTTTCAGAGTAGATAATATCACTGGAAACACAGGGCTCAGCTGTGGGACTGAGATGCAGGGAACATCTCAAGATTCAAAACCACATATAATTTGTAGAGAGAAAGAATGAGATTAAAAATGATCCATAGGAAAAAATTAATGGAGTGGCTCTGTCTCCAGTGGCAAATTCATCCCTGTGGAACAAGAGAACAGACAACCAGTACTAGAGGCATGGGTAACAAAATGGACACATCTATTAATAATGCTGAGGTGTTTGCCACCAGAGAAACCCTACAGTGGCTCTGTGACACACGTGGGTATGAGCTAATGCTTGTGACATCCCTGTGATGAAAGGGGTGCTCTCATTTGTCACATACAGCAGATGAAGCAACCTACCTACGACCACATTTCTTTAGCTATGATTAGATCTCATGACCTTCTGCCTCCATGTCCTCTGCTCTAGTCCATAGTTCAGTATTAAATGAATCTGTGTATGAAATACTGAATTTACATCATAAATTAAAGAGAATTGTTCCAGCTGGCTCCCAAGGGGGCAGAGAATCTAAAGAAAGTCTGGCAACAAACAAATCAAAAGGATGAGAAACTAAATCTCTTCAGTACTTAGGGAGTGAACAAGGACAGATACTGGTAGTTAGAAGGCAAGGGTAGACTTGGTGACATTTTTTTCCAGGATGGACCAAGAACACAAAAGCACCAAAATATTTATTCTGCAGAGCTGAACTGGATCATAAGCAAAACAGAAAACCTGTATTTATGACAAAAAGTAGAAGTCTGAGAGGTGCACAGATGGTTGGTCTAGTTTTCTCATTTGACAAGCTGAATGTGACTTTACATTGAAAGAAAGAAATGTAAATGTAGGGAAATGGATGGCTGCTCAGAGAAAGATATGGAGGGAGTGACTGGGAATACAGATATCATGAGTGGGAAGATGAGTATTCTGAGAACTTAAAACACCTAGAAATTCTATGTTCCTATTGTTTACATTTCATTTATCTACATGCTTATGTGTACACATATCCACCTATATATGTATATATATGTGTCTATATTTCACTTAACATCAAGGGCTAGGAATTAATTTTTAAATTTTTTTTCTCATTATTCTTTTGCTAGTGATGACATTAATGAAGAATACTTGTAGCCAAGAGGAAATGCTGACCTCCCCTAACTGGACATGATTTGATTAGGAGCATAATAGTCCAGGCCTCACTCTAATGCTTAATTGTTAGACAGTTTTTCGTGCCAAGATCTTTACTCACTAGTGCACAAATGATTCTTCCAGCTCATTGTTTGATGTTTTCTTTATGTGAATCATTGAATGATCCACAGTCCATATACATTGATTCATTTATGCGGGCTCTATGTAAGGATTACAGAGCAAAGGACTTAGAAATTTTCCTCTGAAAGTTTTAAGGGTAAAAATTTGGCTGCAGGTTAGCAAGCAACTGGCTATGAGGCAAAACAGAAAAGTCAAATTCTAAAAGCGTAAAGTAGGGATGATCTTTTTAGAACTAATCTATCTATTGTCAGCAGAGTACCACAGGTGGTAGGTAAAAAACCCATATGCATATCTATGTCTTGCACTGAATCTTCTCCCATGCAGTTTTACACAATGAATGGCCCAGGCAAAGCCAAAGTGATGCGTAACTGTGTAGATAATAAACCATGTGTTTCCTACATTGCCTACAGAAATATACATGTAATTTCTACATACAGGAAACTGGCCTTAAAAAGTGACTTGGAGAAGGGTAATAAGGCATGGACATTCTCTGCCTCTCATAAGGAAGAAAGTACAGCATCAAATAAAATTATCAGGTGCCAGGCTAGAAACAAAACTAAAGAAGGCAGTGCACTTTTTGCACTTTGTAGGACTCATTGCCACAGGATATTGTGGACACCGAGTATGTGGTTGAGTGTAGACAATACTAAGACAAATAAATGTTAAAAAAATATCAGCAGGGTATGTTATACCAAAAATGCCATTGTAGTTCAGGGAGTCCTTGAGCTTCAGACTTTTGAATGCTTGACAGATTATGCCAGGAAAATATTCTAGATGCTTGTTCTGATTTTATAGTCCTTCCTTCAAATCCATTATTTACCACAATTGGACAAGTTTATGGGCTGGGTGGACCTTAGCATGGTTGGCTTGATGCTGTCAGAGAAATCTTGCTTTTGATGCTTAATTTAATATTTACTACTTGCAGTAATTATATAGAACATCATCTGTATTTTCCAAATAGCCTGTGGAAAGGGTAAAAATCCCAGTTTAGTAAATGTCAAGGTTCCTTTTAAATGTAATTATGTTAATATTTGATTTACACAAATAATGATGCTTTATAATTTCTGAGATGTTATCTGAAAATCTATATAAAATGTAAAGAGGTATTTGAAAGAAATTCAGTATAAGGCTTTTAAGGATCTAGATTTTTTTTCTTGACCATGCATGGTAGCTCATTCAAAACCCTTGTTAAGATGGAAAGTATTTCAAGTACTAATATTCCGAGCAAATGAGCCCTAATAATTCAAACATTTATGCACATTTATGATCATGTGACACTTCAGAGTAATCCTATTGAACCTTATGATGTAGATAGGTTTTGAAAAGTGGGATATAAGTTTGTGTAGAGCTGATGTCTAAACAACTTTCTAAAGATCAGCATATATTGGTCTTTTAATTTTGACGCCTGTGTCCATTGTAATTGGTTTTTCTATGTTCTAAGTAAAGAATCATCCTAACACAGTCCTGTTTTTGTAATAAAGTGGATTTTTTTGAAATATCTGAACTGTCAGTGGTGATGTGTAGGACTCCAGGTGCTCCTGCTCATGGTATTGTGGAAGGAGATGACTTTAAATACGGGGCCCGGGTTTACTTCAAGTGCAACGCAGGTTACAGCTTAAAAGGCAGCCGTGTTGCCTACTGTCAGCTTGATGGGATTTGGTCAACACATCATCCTGAATGTGGTAAGGTCATTTTAAGTTCTAATTCTTTTCAAATCTTTTGGCCAGTGTATTCCCATGAAACTGTATTATCAATTTCTTGCTTGAAATTTGGTAGGTCTGTGACATAATATGTCCTTTTGTCTTTCTGTCTTTAAGAAGCAGTAGGAATTCTTATTTTACTCTGCTGGAACCCCAGCCTGCAAGACTTTTTTATATAAAGGTCTGACTGAAACATCACTTTACTGAAAACCAATAACCTCAAAGTCTTCTTACACATAGAAAATGTCTAGGACCAAAGCCAAGTGAGGGACATAGAGCAACAATGAATAGTTACTTCCATTACTGTGTGTCTGACACTTTATCTGCAGAAGCCTGGTGCACTCTGTGCAGGTGAATAGGAGCTTACTGTGTGAACACTAGACTCTTATTTCAATTCCTATCCTACATAGAAGTTGATGTAAAAGAAACTTCCGTTGATTCTGACTGTGCAGGACGGCATGCCTACCATTCACATTGGTTCAGTTGTAAAATTCCTTCTTGACATCCAAAGAGACTTTAAATTTCCTTTAGTTGATTTGCATTGCATAATTTCATTTTTGTATTCCAGAATAATTTTTTTCTATTGATAAAGTGTTTTCTAAGTGTGTTATGTCAAACAATGTACATTTTGGGGGGAGTGTTGTAAAACAAATATGTTCATTTGAAAGAGCAAGCAATAGGTATTCTTCTATCTAGAGAGGTCTCCAATTGCAGTAAATGTAATGTCAAGATCATACCAAGTCCCTGCTGCATGATGGCCCTGGCTAAAGATCTATAGAAAGAGCTGTCTCTAGACTTGGCAGTCACTGAACTGCTAGGTCTCTCCTTCCCAGATATTTTCTCTTTATTTTTAATAAATCAAAAAGGTCATAACCCTGAGCATAGGGAAGGAGCAAATTACTGTCAAAGTACTGAAATAAGAGAAGGCCTTAAGTGACTTACATGGTCAAGCTTTTTTGGTACATTTGGAAACAGGCACTGTGGTGATCAGATGATGCCTCCAGGCCAGCCATCAGTGCAGAAAGCAACTTGCAAATAAAGCATTATTCTGTGGGGGATTCTCTGTAGTCTTTAGCTGCTATCAAGTTATCAGTCACTTATGGTTCACGACTGAGAGAGCCTGTAGAGGTACACAGGAGGAAAATGGAGCCAAATAAAAAGGAGACAGGGCTCTGCTTTTCCCTTTCTTCTGATGGAGAGGAGAAATCCTTGTTTACAAAATATAACTTGTGGAAAAGTATTTAAATACATATTTAGCCTTCAGCATTTGCTAAAATCCTATGCTTGCAAAGAAAACACTGAAATATAGACTTGGCTTGAATGCTATACTCACTGTTAAAAGCACATGCTCTTCATTGGAGTGGCATTGTTATGGCTGGCTGTGTGTTCACACGCTTTGCTGAGCTGGGCTTTATCTGGTGGCACAAGGTATGACTTTGTGACAGGACAGGGCCATACCTTTGCACTGTAACTGTGCTGATTTCACAGCAATTTAAATAAATGTCTGAGTGCTTTGTTATATGTTGGTGCTTTTGTGAGCTGAGGCTCAGCAGGCAGCCAACTCTGAAGCACTGATATGAAGAGGTAATTTTGGGTCAATTGATATGTCCCAGTCCTCTGGGCACTCAGTGAGCAGCACCAACACCAGCTGTCTGAACTAGATGTGCACTGGTTATCATGCACTGAGGTACCAGGCAGAGAAATTAAATAGGATTGCGTGTTAGTGTTGTCCTGACAAGAAAACTGAGGTGAAATCCAAAGGGAAAAAAAATGTACCTTGTCAGCTGCTAAATAGAAAGAGCAGAGGAGTTAAAAATGAAGGAAAAATCATCTTCTAGCATCACATAGTGAATACTGTCCTCCAGATTTAGGCCAAAAATCTAAGTTTATTGAGGAAAAAACCAGAAAAAGCAAAAACACAACAAGAATTTAAAATAAGTGGAAAATACTGGGAAGGAGGAACTAAAAGAGATTTTATAGGCAGAATATAGCATGAGTAAGCGTTTCATATTAAATTTTTATTGTCAGTAAATACATACATATGTTCTCTTTCAATTCATGTATTTCCCTGGATTATTGAGATATCTCTCTCAGTGCTAAGAAAACAAAATGCAACCAAACATAAAAGCAAAATTAAGTAGTCTATTTTTATATCCAAGTGCAATGAAGTATTGAAAATACAGAAAATGGAAAAGAATGCCAAAGGCCTGTTTCCTGCAAATAATTTAAGTGCAGCCTTTTATGCTGTTGAAGAAGCCTTGTTAATATTAATGGGACATTAACATCATAGAAAGTCAAGGTTCTTTTTCAGGACTATCAGCTACTTCTTAAGGTTTTAACAATTTGAGAATTTTTACCAATTTGAGACTCTTATGCTTTCAGTGAGACTGAAGTGTGTATTATAAACAGACATCCCTATATTATAATTTCTTTTTTAATATTTGACATTTTCAAAAACAGCAATCCCAGATGGGTCTTGAAAAGGCATCTTTAATAAAGTGTAGATTGTTTAGTAACATCTGAATGAAATGCCAAGCAATTTGATGGGTGAAATAATGTAGTGAACCTGATAAAATGGTTACTATTTTTTTTCCCTATCATTAGTTCTAGAAGAAAAAAACTGCTCAGATCCTGGTGGTCCACTCAATGGCTACAGAAGAGTGGTAGAAGACACTGGGCTCTTGAATGGACACTATGCAAAAATTGGCACAGTCATTGCTTTCTTTTGTAACAACTCGTATGTTCTTAGTGGCAATGAACAAAGGACCTGCCAAGACGATGGAGAATGGTCAGGGAAGCAACCAATCTGCATAAAAGGTAGTTTATACACTTTTTTACCACAACTCACACAGGCTGCTATGGTTTCACTGGATTGTGTTCTATATCATTTGCACTGAACAAATGATCATATTTGCTGAGAGTAAGCTGTCTGGCTGATACCTGATACTGAGTTTTGTAGTTTGCCAGCTCTGCTGGCTGCTATACTCAGACAGAGAAGTTGCCAATGATTCCAGAAGATTCCATCTTTAAACAGGGAAAGGAATGTTCTCTAAGACCCTTATTATCCTCATTCTAGGACTGAACCTGCGTAAGATCAAGATCAAAGAAGGTCAGGAGGGAATTGAAATAGAATTAAATAATTGTCTCATGAGACTGTTAACGATCAGTTGCTGTCACAGGGAGTAACTGTCCTTTCACAATCCTTTTAAAACAATGGGACCAGTCATAAATGCAAAAGCAGAGCCTGTACAATATGATTAAATTATATGTATTCACCAAAACACTGCATCAAACCTTTAAATCCTATGCTCTTCACCTGGAGCTATTCTACTAAGTGTGAATGAAACCCTGAGTGAGTGAGTGAGTGAGTGAGTGAGTGAGTGAGTGAGTGAGTGAGTGAGTGAGTGAATTAATGAATTTGGGCTGGGGAACTGCTAAATTCATTTTATAAACACAAGTTCTTGATATATGGATTTTTTAAAAACTGAAATGATGATTATATAAGGAAATATGTCTGTCTCCTGGGCAATTTGCTTTATTCTGTTGTTTTAGATGAAAATAATCTCCCCCTGAAGCATGCAGTCATCTATGGAAAGCATCTTTATTGATGCTTACTGTGATACTGACATAATGGCTAACACATATATCAATCACAAAGAACTAGATATTGTTAAATTACACAGAGAACAAGGCATACAGATAAAATCCATCCTGCAAGATTCCTTTTCTTCCATTCAGGGCAGCAGGAAGGAGACCCTGGCAGAGTTAATTGAACTTGAATATTTTATCCTAATCTTAAAGTAAGTAAACTGAATATGCTAAACTAGAAATCTTAGATCTCCTTTCTGTTATTTTACACATATTTAGGTAATTCTGAAGTGTTCCTTTGAATCCAGTTCCTTCCATAAGTGCACAAACAGACTCCTAGAAGTGCTTAATATCTTGCAGCCTTTCTCTGTATGCCAATTAGCTGTGTGGGGCTACACAGATAGAAATGAAGCATTTTTATATATAATTCCATTACTGGAAAAGTTTGCTCTGATACGAAACCATCCTCCATAGTGGTGCAAGTGTGGCATTCAGACAAACTGAATGATGGAAAAAACTTCCTCCATGCCTGAAAGTGCCAATGCAGACTAGTTCAGAAGCTTCCACTGTTGTAAATGGGATAGATCTTGTGAACTGTGAAGTATTTTTCCAAGGCCTTAGGTTTTAGGATCATTAATTCTCGTAACTTAACTGCCTCTTTTCTTAACCCAGTCCTCTATAGTTAGAGAGAGGAAAGGTTGCAAATGTGTATGAACCATAGCACTTAGAGCTGTGAATGTGAAAAAGTACTGTGCAACATTATATCTTTTCTAGCCTGCAGAGAGCCAAAGATCTCTGACCTGGTGAGACAGAAAGTGCTTCCAATGCAGGTTCAGTCAAGGTGAGAACGCAATATGTCAACTACAGTTTAAAGAAAAAAATGTGATTGCTTTTCCCCTCCTCTCCTTTTCACTCCATGTGTTTAGCCTGCCTGAGCAGTGACTCCTACAAATTCACTGATAATTGAGCAATGAGAGCTGCTGGGAGGGGAGGTCTGATTGAGCACAGGCTGCCAGCTGCAACCTGGAGGCAGCCAGGAAGAAATGCACAGATAGAGACAGACAAACTACAGCATGATGCTGGAATTCTGCTGGCAAGCTTGAGAACAGTCTAAGAACAGTTCCTTGGGGCTAATGATGAAAAATATGAACATGTGCCATCTTAGTGCACAGGGGGAGCACAAGGAGAGAAGAGGGTATTGCAATGCAACCTGCTCCCAGTAAGTTTCACCATCCAAAGCAATACAGCACATTTTATATAGACTGGGTATGAGGGAGAGGGTGAAGTAGAGTAGGAGGGGAGGAAGGAATGAAAGATTAGATCCTTCCTGGGCTTACCCTTCTTATGATTTCTTGAAATAAACCCCATCAGAATTAAATATGTTGCAATGTTCAGGTTCATTTTCATCCAAGTAGTAATTTCTCATTTCAGGGTTATTTTTGAAGTACATGACTAATTTAGTTTTCAATTCAGTGCTAGAACTGTCCTCATCTTTGGTCTTAAGAACAGTCATATCAGGTCAGAATGAAGGACCAGCTCAAGCTTTATCCTGTCTCTGACAACAGCCAGAATGGCTAGAGAAGATCTGAGGAACAAGGCAAGCATGTACTTCCCAGTCACTCTGCCATTCTCCAGGTGATATATGATTGCAGAGATGGCCCTGAGAAGCTGACATGAGGTTTTGGTAGCCATTATGGGATTTTTTGTTCTTAAATTTCTCTATTGACTTTTGGATACAGGACTTTAATGTTTCAGGTATGAGCACCAGCTGTATTGAGAGAACATACATGTCCTCCCATCCATAAGATGCCATGAGATGATGGCGTCTCATGTTTGTGGACTGTTTTTAATCCCTTGAAGTAGAATCTCCATTTAATAGGTCAATAGTGAGGTAAAGTCTAGATTATGCAATATTGCAAGTCATCTGTGAGTTTGGAATGGTACCCTGGCAGACTAAATAGGACCACAGCAGCTCTCATCCTCCTTTCAAAATACAAGAGACTTGCAATTGCTCCTGTTCTTTGTAACTTTACTTTCCTGTTATGTTTTGCCTCATAGATTGGATATGATGGTATCGTCTGTGTCTCTCTGTGATAAAAAATGAAGTAATCATGAGAAAAAAAAAGTCTTTTCTGGATGTAGGCAGTACCAGAAATCTCAAGGGAAACTTATTTCCTGCTGAATCTTTCAGGCATAAAAAGGGATTTTTTGTAGGCATGAGCTTTTAAGCATTAAAGCAAGGGACATATTCTAAATGATTAAAATTTAAGTATTACTGTAGTCAAGCTTAAGGTCCATATCTATGCTGGTGCACATATTTATTTCTTAATTATGTGCCCTGTTTCAGCTAATCAGTACAATTTCTAAGTGGAAGCTTAGCAATTATGAAATTATGAAATCTCCGTGGTGAGGCAATTATCTCTGTTAATTGCCAAATCAAGCAACTTTAGCAACATCATTTAATCTGAATCAATTCCTAATACTGTCTATTAAAATATTCACTAGAGAAAAGATGTGTCTATCTCCCCTCTACTGAGAATTAATAATGACAATGCCAAATTCAGGTATAATTTCTTAATTTAAAAAATGGTGTCTCAGTCCTTTTGTGAATGGAAAAAACTTCCACATTCAGAGGCAATTGATTTCAATTCGGAAACTGTAAAATGAAAAACCAGACACAAATAGGATATGTGTAAGCATATGTGTAATTATATATATGTGCAGATACATGTAAATAACATAGTGGGATGTAAATGGGAGTATTGCTAACCTATGCTGGAATTATGTTTTTTCCTTATTCTTTCATGAGCAAACTTTATGTGATTTTAAATGATACTTAACACAACTGGTGATAAAGTTATGGTAATGATTGCTTTTATAATATTATAATTATGGTGTTCTTTGTGCCTTAAAACAGAGAAACACCTTTGCATCAACTTTACTCTTCTGCATTCAGCAAGCAAAAGCTTCAAGTCTATCCAACCAAGAAGCCAGCACTGCCATTTGGAGAACTGCCGCCAGGGTACCAGCACCTGCACACTCAGCTCCAGTATGAGTGCGTTTCTCCCTTCTACCGCCGCCTGGGCAGCAGCAGGAGGACTTGCCTCAAGACAGGAAAATGGAGTGGGAGAGCCCCTGTGTGTATTCCAAGTGAGTCTCCTTAAGGAAAAAAATGTGCATATCTCTTGGGTGAATGAGGGAACAGGATGTGTATTCATGTTAGATATTTAGGGAGTCACAGCAGTGTAGGCTGCTTATACTTCCAGCTGGGCGAAAGGAGCAATAAAGCTTGAAGGATATATGTGTCTTTTTATCCACCAGTAGAACTTGATGGTAAAGTGATCAGGCTTTCAGCACTGTGATTTGCCATTAATTTCTCTACTCTTTTATTGAGTAGAGGTATAGTGAGTCTTTCTCCTGATTTGAAATAGCTTTCTACTACTACTTCATGTTTTTCTGTATGATTTACTACAAATGGGATTTTTCTTTCATTTGTATACTTTGGCACACAGCTGACAAAACCATCAAAGTTTAAGCAATAGAAGGGAGAATCTGCAATTTTAAAGAGGCCCTTCCTTTAATAAACCCTGCTAAGGAAGAGTTCACATTGCAAACTGTAAATCTAGGTAAAATCTAATCTAGAGGTAGTGCACAAAGTAAGTTAGGGTAAGAACGTCACAAGATTTGGTAAACTCCACTACTGACATCGAGCAAACCGTGAAAAGTAGTTCTTAACAATAAACAAATTTTTTTGTTCTTGTTTGTGGTTTTACTTTGAGATCATATCATGTATTTTGAAAAGTATCGCATTCACTATGGACATGCACACACTACATATCACAAAGAAAAAATGCAACAATGCAATGTAACTCTTTCAACTGAAATTAAACCTTTTATGATGTAGGGGATTTTACCCCAGGTCCAAGCATGGATAAGGTATTCCTGGAACAAGGCAGAGCTTTTTCTTTTCCCAGAATGACTATTGATTTAGATGCATTTGCTTCAACATTCTTGTCGCAAGGCAAGTGTGTTCTTATCGGCATGTACTGACCTGTGCAAAGAGTTGTGCCAAGAGAGGCCTGAAAAATACACTGTGACTGCCGAGGGTGAATTTTAGTGCACTGATGGCTTTATGACATTTTATGATAAACAAGAATCAAGGGTGTTCTTTTCATTTCTTTCTGCAGTCATCTCATTATAGTGCAAGTCGATAAGGTTGTTGTGAAAATTCACCTGCTCAAGTGCTAAATCCACATTCCTACTTTGCCCAGGAATTCAGATAATAATGGAAAAGTTGAATATTGTTTTAAAAAGCTATATCAAATACTGCTATAATTTTGCAGGTTAGAGACAGAGGCTAATTAGACAACTGCCCTTCATATTCATCATTGCAGTTTAGCTTCTTTTGGCACATTCTAAGAAGGTATTAAGAGTAATGCTCGAATTCTTTTGGGGAGAAAGTGTTACCTGCTTTTTGCTTCATGTTTCCCCAGTCTGTGGAAAAGCAGAAAACATCACCCTTAAGAAGGCCGTGACCTCTATGAGGTGGCCATGGCAAGCAGCCATCTATCGCACAGCCAGCGGGGTGAAGGAGAACAGCCTTCGGAAAGGGGCCTGGATCCTGATCTGCAGCGGGGCCCTGGTGAACGAACGCACCGTGGTGGTGGCAGCCCACTGCGTCACTGACCTGGGCAAGACCATTGTGCTCAAGACAGCAGAGCTCAAGGTGGTTCTGGGCAAATTCTACAGAGATGATGACAGGGATGAAAAGACCATCCAGAACCTGAGGGTGAGTAAGCCCAACAGGAGTGAAAAATGATGGGCACAGGTAGATGCTGATCACATCTGTCTTGTATAGGGACAAAACGTTGACCCTTTGGGCAATGCACTCTCTTACATGTTGTTCTTTGAAATGCATGTTAGAGATTCAAGTGGAATGGCGTAAGAAGGGACTATGCTGTAGTTCATTGAATTCCTCGAAGCCATCCAACTCATACATTCACCCCTAATTAAGAAAATAGCTCAGGTTCTGTGGGCCATAATGTCTTGAGTGATATTGCCAGTAAAAAAAGTAGAAGAGATGCCAGCTACTGTCAAAATTGATTAGCATAATTTATGAGGGAAACACTTGTGCTCTAAATCCTGGTTTGATGCCATGAGCACATTTCACTTCTCAGCCCCAAGGCCGTAGAGCTCTAAACTGAAAAGAAGTTTGTGTCTGACTCCAGCTCCAAAAATAGCACCTTGGGCTGACCAGAGCGATTTGATTTTTTTCAAGCAGAACTAGAAAAGCTGAAATCAAAATGAGAAATACAGCAAATTTGGGTATGTGTGTCTCTTTTTGGGGGGAAATTTGGGGTGTGTGTCTGAGTTAATTAATGGAATTTATCCAAAATATCATAATTAACTTGATGCTTTCCCTCCTGACCCCTTTTTAGTTTCTTTCTCTAATCCCATCTTTTTCATTGTGTTCCTATAAGAAAATATATTACTTTTTTTTTACAGTATTTTCTTATAGGAATCCTATCTGTTCTTATAGGATTTCATTAAGGACATGAGCAGTAAAGGTTTGGCCCCAATATTATGTAATGTATTGCATGTTTCTCATTTGAGTGGATGAACACCATAGATGGGGGTAAAGGAGAAGTATGCAGGATAAACTAAAATGTATTTTGGTAGTATGGAGTGCTGCTGACCTGCCATTGCTGTTAACCCTACAATTCTTTCTACTGTGTTTCCTCTCCAGATTTCTGCCATCATAGTGCATCCCAATTATGACCCTATATTACTTGATTCTGATATAGCTGTCATAAAACTCTTGGACAAAGCCAGGATCAGCAGTCGTGTTCAACCCATTTGCTTGTCATCTTCCCATGACCTGACTGCATCCACAGAGGATTTAAAGATAACGGTTACTGGCTGGAAGGTATTGGCTGACATTAAAGATCTCGGTTACAAGAATGACACAATCCGCATGGGAGTTGTTCAGATGGTGGATTCACTGTTGTGTGAGCAACAGTATGAGGATAATGGGATACAAGTCAGCATCACTGACAGCATGTTCTGTGCCAAACAAGACCACACAGCCTTTTCTAATATTTGCCCTGCTGAAACTGGTGGGATTGCTGCCATAACGTTGCCAGGAAAAGCATCTCCTGAGCTAAGGTGGCACCTGATGGGATTAGTGAGCTGGGGTTATGATAAAACTTGCAGCCTAGAACTCTACAGTGGCTTCACCAAAGCTCTTCCCTTCAAGGACTGGATTGAGAAGAACATGAAATAAAAACCTGAGTCTGGAAATGGCATTTTATAACATAATATCTCTCTCAGTCTCTGCTACTTTAGGCTTCTCATCCTAGTGATGAGACACATCTGGGATAAGGTTAAGGCAGGCAGCCTGGTAATTTGTCCTAGGATCAGATATTTCATCAGGCTAATTTTACTTAACCCATGACAGAGGGTCTTAGTGCATGAGAAGTTTTGCCATATTTTGTCTGTCTCCCCTGGTGGGAGGACGATGCTCTGCTCCTGAGTCTGACATGCAGAAACAGGACAGTAAATTCTGTCTGAAATTAATCTGTAGTGTGGAGCTCCCTGGAGAAATTGATGGTGAGCTTCTCCCAAAGATCTGTGTGACTGAGTGGATTAAGAGTCTGGAAAGAGTAGCCTGAATTCATTATGACGGATGAGCTTGTTGTGGTATGTGCTGTCTGTATTGCCATAGTACAATGTAATCTTCTTCCCTCCCAAGTACTTTACACATTTAAATAAACCATGGTTTGTTTTTTTAACCTACATACTCATGTCTGACATTATTTAGATCCATTTTTGCTTTATATGTGTCACACTCTTGGAACTCTCTACTGCCCTTGTCTCTTTGCATGTCACTCTCACTTGGGACTCTTCAGGAACTAAAAAGGCAGAATCAGCATAAAATTCAAGGACTACTTGTAAATAACAAGATTCTTTTTTCTTAATACACCCATTCCTACTATTTTACATGAACCACTACAATGAAATGTACCAAGGAGTTCTCTTTCACCTTGTATTCTAAACAGATAAAAACATGAAATATATTTTAAATATGTTTTTTCCAAGTGGTTTTTTTCATAGAAGTATGAAAACCTCAGGAAAACTTTTGGTTCCCATTAGTTCCCATACATTTGTGGTAAAACTACTCCTCTGTAGCTCTTCAGGGTAAGAATAACGTCCAGGTCTCACGCTTAGCAGGCACTTTTCTTGAACTGAGACTGAACTGTTTGACATCAGAGTAAGATTCTCCTATTGGGCATATTGTCCAGGGAGACACCTGAGTGTCCTCATGGTCCTTAGTCACTGCTCTTACTCTAAATCATTCTCTATTCTTTATTTCATTCTTTCAGTCATGGCTAAAGACTAGGGATTAACCCTATAAAAACTGGGGAGAAGAGACAGTACTGACTGTCTTCCATCAATAATGATTTCTTGCTAAGTCATATATGACACTCTGGAGTTTTTAGGACCTTCAAATTATTGCAGTGCCCAAAACAGCTTACAGCAGTAGTTGGCTGTGAGGACTGGGAACCTGATGAAAAGATTTAGTGCTCTTACCAAGAAGGACTCAGATCCTGAACTTGTGTTCTGCCTATCGTATGGGTATAGCAACTTGAAGTTAGCAAGTCTGATTTCAGTTCTGATTCTTTGCTGCTGTAAAATCTCATTACAAGTTTCTTAGCATTCAGTAGTTTCTACCCACTTTTGAATCTGAAAACTGCTGCTAAAAGGACAATTAGTGTTGGACATCATTCCATGTAACTTATTTTTTATTTTCTTGGCAGAAATACTTATTGTGTATGCTTTTGCACTTTCCTTGTTTTCACTGGCAATAGGACCACATGATGTTGCTTAAATCAAAAAGTTTAAGGGCTACAATTAAAGTATATTGCTTCTCTTTATCTTGTTTGTCTGTCTTCTCCTGCCAGGAGATTATGCTTGGCCGACAAAGTGCATGGCAACAACAGCAACAAAAATCCTGCATTAAATGTGAAAAACATGATGTGTTTCATTCCTCTGCCGGGAGGAACACATGCCAATGAATGTGTGGTACTCCCCTGCTGACAGAATGGCTTAGAGTAAATTAGGTGTCAGTTTTGGAGAAGCACAAACTTGCAGAAAGTCAACATGCGTTTCTTCCTAACAGCCACGACAAAGAGTGAAATGAGAAAGCTCTTTCATTATTACATTAAATGAGAGTTTCTACACTCTAAATAATCATTGGATTATTTAATGGTAAACAGAAATTATGAAGACCTGGGAGCTGGTTGTGTTCTCAGTTAGCACACCATGACTGCATTGCTTTCCATAGTATTACTGCTCTCCCCTGCTACAGCTGAGAGAGACGAGGTTCTAAATGCTTTTTTCTCTCTTTAGGTTTTGTCCAGTCCAAACAGATCTGCAAAAGTCTGGTTTAATTCCAGCCTTAGACCTCCCTCTTCATCTTCTAAAGATCAACTATATTTTAATATATACTGATCCTCTAACTTCTCCTCAGTGTTGAATCCCATCCCCATTTGGCTTCAAATCAGGAGAAAGTTTCTGGGCTTGGACAGCAACAATATAGCTGTTCACTAGCTGTATATCACACAAAAGTACATTCTTGAAGAGAAACTTGTAGGAATTCATGGAATTAAAATCTCAGGAGGTTGCTATAGCTGTGCATGCACAACACTATTCAAACCCTTCTTTTCACAGCCATGATGCTCTTCAAAGAAGCAGAAGTAGGAAGATAGCCAGACACCTGGCTCAACCCCAGGGTTCATATTTTAGCACAGCCCTTTACAGGAGGAGGATGAGGTTGCAGCATTTGCTTCTATTTCTGGATCTCAATCATGTTTGAATCCTAGATTCAAATCTGGCTATTTCCAAATGCCCACATAATGTTTTATTGCTCTGGTTGTATGACATAGGTATTCACATGCAAAAGTGAGCAGTCATATCAACATATCCAAGCACCTCTACCATGTCGAGTATTCCCAGGAATTACAAACCAGCTTGTCCATCCTGTCAGGTTTACCCACAGTAGTTTCCTGTTTACAGACTGAGGAGAACTATGCAGGGGTTAGCATCTAATGCCAATAATGAAGAAAAATAGGGATAAATGTTTGAAAAAAAGCAATGCGTGACCTGGAATTGATAATATCTTTGATAGTTTGACTCTATTTTTAAGATGTAGAACTGTTTCAAACATCTCTTTCTAAACAGGTGAGGATCTGTGCCATCTGTTGGAAAAAGGGTGTGAAATAGCACAACATGGATAGCAGCTCATTTTCTCTCCAAGGAAAAAGAGCTGTGCATTCTGGAAAGGCCATAAGGATATTGCTATGGAAAGAGGAGAGCAAAACACTCTCTGCATTCTTATTCCCTCCAACGAGTGTATGTTTTTCCTTTGTATGTTTCAGGGCTGCATTAAATTACTACCAAAAGCCAGGGTGCTTAGCTGAAAAATAGGAAATGGACATACTGAAATACAAGCTCCTTTCAGGCACCCTCAGTTACTCTCATAGAATTGCCCTTGTAAAAGATTTTTGTTGAAAGCCTACGTCCATGGTGAGATTACAAGAAAAAAAAATGTGTATTTGATTAGGACTGGGGATTGCGTGATAGGCTGCATCCTGCCATTTTTTAAGGGCAAGTAACTGGAATTGGCTTGGTTGCAGGAAAAGCATCCTGAGGGAGTGGGAGTGGTGCAGAGGGTCAGGCAGGCTTTGCTCAGCTGTGCAATCCCCGCAGCCTCCCAGCTCCTTATCGTGTCAGGGGGCTTCCGCATGGCTGCTGGCTTTCCGTGCCACCTCCTCGGTGCAGAGGGAACGAGCTGTGGCAGAAATGTTTGTTCCCTGTGAAACGAGACATCAGGTTGGTCAGACTTGGATGGAGAGACAGCACTGAGGTTGGCGGGCAGAGCCGCAGCTGAGGGAAACGGGAGCGAAGGTGTGTGGCAGTGTCTGGGCGAGCGTTCTGTGCCGCAGCACCTGAGTGCGGGTATAGAACAGGACAGAAATTTCCTGCCCTACGCTGCAAAAGCGCCCTGGGCGACACCCGGGCCCGGGTCCTCCGGGCCGCGGCCACGCGCGGCGCCCCCGACGCGGAGGAGCGGGGCGGGGCGGGGCGGCGCAGGTAGGGGCGCGGGGCGGGCCCGGCCGAGGCGTGGGAGAGGTCGCGGCCACAGGCGGGACGGCGGCCGCTCCCCGGGGCTGTGCAGTGCGGTGCGGTGCGGGCCGGGCCGGGCCTGCGGGGCCGCCGGCGGCAGGTGGGGCCCGGGCGCCGCGCCTCGCCCACCTCCCGGCAGGGGGCAGCACCGCCCCGCGCCGCACCCTGCGCGTCCCTGCGGGCGGGGGCCCCGCTCCCGCGGCCCCTCGGTCCCGCCAGCGAGCCCCGGCCATCCCGGTGGGACAGCACGGCGCGGACAGCGGCCGGTCGGGCCGGGCGTCCCGGGGGGCTACTGCCGCCTCGGCGCGGCGGGGCAGGTGCCGCGGCTGCGGGGGCGCAGCCTCTCGGCCGCGCTGTGGGACCCCGCGCCGGCCGAGCGCCGGGGCACGTGCGGGTGTGCGGCGGCAGGCGGACACCCCGAGCGGGGCCGCGTGTGTGTGTCTGTCTGTGTGTGTGTGTCTGTCTGTGTGTCTGTATGCGATCGCGCCTTCCCGCGGCTCCCGGACGCTCCCCGGAGTCCCGAGCCTGCCCCGGGAGGCGGTGGCGGCCGCGGCGAACGGGGCAGGTCGCGGTCGGCGGCGGCTGGCCCTCCCCCTGCGAGGGGCTCGCCGCCCCCCCCCGCTGCCAAGGAGCTCTTGGGGGGGATTTATAGGAGTAACAACGGCTCGTGATGTCAGCCCGTGCCTAAAATAGAGAGGGATTGACTGCAAATCCACGGCTCGAGGGCTAAACCTTCCAATCCAGCCTCAGCCAGCGCCGCGCCGATGTGAAGTCGCCCCCCAGCTCTCGCACACAGCCGCGCAGACACGCAAACGCTCCCCGCGGCGAGGGGAGGGCGCCGGGGATCGCAGCCCAGGTGCCAGCGCCTCCTCGCCCCGCCGGCCACTGCTGGGCGGCCGCGGCGCAGCAGCGCCGGTCCCCGGGGCACCGAGAGCCTGCTCTGGGACGGCGGGGTGGGGGAGAGCCGAGGAGCGGAGCTGCCGGATCCTCGCCCTGCGGAGCCCCCAGGATTACAAGGAATTGCGTGCTCCTTCCCAGACGTGAGCGAGGGTTATACCAAAGAACCAACCTCCTTCGCGCCCTGCTGTCCAAATTAATCCCTTGGACCCTTGAGAAGACAGGGTTTTTTTCGGAACCATGGCATCGACAGAAGGGTGAGGGGGACCATCTCTTGGGTGGGAGGAACGGGAGGATGGGGGAGATGCCCGGCATTGTTCTTTTGGTAACAGTTTCCTGTCATCTGCTTCATTGTTAATCCTTGCCCCTCGCCATTCCCTAACACAATAATTAGGGAGCGAGAGGAAACGAGAAGCAGACGATCCACATATAGAAGAGAGCGAGGGAAAAAATTTCAAATATGAGCCACTGAAAAGGTCTTGGGTTTCCTTCCCATCACTTCTTTATTTAACCCCTGGAGGGCAGATCAAGCTTAAACCACCTGCCTGTGAAAGAAGAGTACAAGTGAATGGTTCACTCAGAAGGGAGGGGGAAGCTTCTTCCTAAATATAACAGTAATGTTAATAATAATAGTAATTATAATTTCAAAAATAATCGAAAACCTGTCCCCCCAGCCATCCCTTCAAAAGGCAACAAACAAATCCAACTT